ACAAGCAAATTGACCACGGAAGCTTCAAATCTGCCTCTGAACTCCTAGTTTTTACATCCAACCAGGTGCTTCTTCCTCAGAGAGTCCCACCCATGGGTAACTCAAAACCAAGGTGTGCAAGTCCAAATTCTTTTTCATTCTCTCTTCCCTCAAAGCCAAATGTTCCTCTATATTCTTAATAATTATTAGAAATAACTATTCACGGGGCTGGAGTGATAGCACAGGGGGTAAGGCATTTGCTTACACACGGCCGACCCGGGTTCGATTCCCAGCATCCCATGTGGTCCCCCGAGGACCTCCAGGAGTAATTCCTAGTGCATGAGCCAGGAGTTACCCCTGTGCACTACCGGGTGTGACCCAAAAAAGCAAAAGAAAAAAAAAAGAAAAAGAAATAACTATTCACTATGCTTCCTCTCTAAAATTATTTGGTACTTCTCCCCCAGTCTCACCCTTATTATAGTCACCAAATAGTGTTAATTCCATTGAAATCATGCTTTTCACATCAGTGCCTTCCGGTCCTATCTTTTCTGGCTCAACACCTGATCAGGTGTGTTCCTTCACCCGCACCTCAGCAGTATGCGTAGATGGTCACTAGCTCATCCTCTGCACCACCCCGTTCCAGTCCATTATCCTTCTCACACAAGATTATCTGTGCTTAAGAACCTGGGATAACACAAGATGACCTACTGAAAAGAACCCAAATCTCCTAGCTTTCCATTTTACTTTGTTGCCTGAAGAAACATTTCATCCCTGACACATCGCCTGTCCTCTGGCCACTGGGTGTAGCAAATCTTGCATATTTTTACTCCTTGCATGCCTCCACAACATCTCGCTCACTGTTTTTATATCAAAGTTTTCCTGTGCTTCCCTGCCCCTGTCTTGTCCAAAAAAAGGGAAATTTCCACTTACCTTTCTAGGCCCCTCACTCAATGTGTAAACTTCTCTGAAAAGCTTTTGGGAAATACTCCCCCCCTCCCACCCCACCCCACCCCACCTCCACACACATACATACAAGCTCCTCTTGCCTTTAATACACTTCTTCATTATAGCTCTAACCATACTCCTTCGTAATTATTTATGTTTGTAGCTCCCCTGCCAGAGGGAAAAAAAGTACTATATTTTATTTATCTTTAAATCCACTGAAACTCCCTGCTAGCTTTGCACATAAATGTTTGCTGGATGAATTGGCTGAAAGTGCTTTGGTAAAAGTGTAACACATAATCTCAAAATATTTCAGACCTCAGTGGCTAAAATCTCATTTCTTTGTCCTCTCTCTCTGCATACCTATTGGCAGGCTAACACGGGGCTCAGGAGGGTCAGTTATTCAGAGGGAACTAACAAAGCGCTGCTATTTGTAAACAGAGCCATTTGTAAACCCTCTGGGCTAGATTTAGAGATTGCCTTTCTAACTCTGACAATGTTCCTCTGCACTCACTCCACTCTAAGCATTTCTTTGCCAAATGTCTTGAGTCCTATAAGTAACCTTTGTTTACCCTGAAAACAATTTCAAGGAAGCTGAAAGGAATTTAAAAACCATGTAGGGACCCAGTAGGGACTCACCTGGTCAGCAAGCCTCCAGCCTGCCTAAGAAAAAGAGGGGGCTCCGGAGACTCCACTCGGGGGACCTTTCTACCACCATTAGCTACTTAATTGCTTGAACCTCCAAAAGCTCTCTGCTCCCCAGTGAAGATCATGGCAGTCCATTAATCACAAGATTATTCAAGTAAAACAGCATCATAAGCAAAGTAGTAGCCCTGGTTGGTCTGAAGAATAGTTAGTACTTTTTTAGGTTCTGGGACTCATTTCCAGTACTGGGGGTTGGGGGTGGGGCGGCTTTCTTACCAACAGGGAACAATTTTATGACAGCCTAGATGTGTCTTATAATGTAATTTAATTCTGAGACTATTACCCAAGGAACTATTAAGTCCCACAGTTTTAATAATTCAGTCCTACAAGGCCACCCGCACCAACACCCCAACTCAAAAGCCAGCCACGAGTTCTTGCGACCATCGGTGCTTCTCGCTGACCAGTTATCATGGGGTCCAGCAGCCCCACCCTGGGTTGCAGATACCAGTTGCAAGGCCAAGTACTTAGCTGTGCTTCTAACTCACTGACTATAAATATGAGGTACCCCAGAGTCCTTCTGGAGAACAATTCATCTGCTAGAGTCACTTACAAGTATGCTAGAGCATCCAGATGATTATCCAGAGGGAGAGAACATTGAATGAAATGTGGGGAGACATCTCAGAGTGCCTGCACTTTCTCTGAAGGTGCCGCTCTCAAAAGTTCAGACATTCACCAACCCACATGCTTCCAGGAACTTTAGTCTTCTGGAAACTTTATCAAGGCTTGTTATACAGGTTTAATGAATTAAATCTTTGGAATGGGCAATTGATTCAATGTCTTTTTTTGGTAAGACCCAAATCTGAGTACAATATTCTCCTGTGTAACTTCTGCTGGTTCCTTGTTGCATAGAGAGGGGAAACGCCTGATGTCATTAGACCACAGCTGTTTCTTACCGCCTCCGTCTGCTCTATCTCTTATGCTTCAGCTGTGCTTTGCTGCCTTCTCACCCTCCCCTGAACCTTTGACAGGTAACTCAGAATTCCTGGAATGCTCTTGTAAAATCCTCTCGCTCCAAGATCAAAACTCTATCACAAGCTTCTCTGTGAGAACTCTCCAGGCAGAGGTTGATGTTCCTGTAGTACTTTGCCCTTATGTTGAGCAAGGCTTATGGTTGCATCAGTCCATAGTTTCATGGTTCCTGGTTCACTGGAGTTAACTCAGGGCCTGTTGGCAAAGGCCTTAGAGGAAAGAGGGGACCAGACTGGGGTTAGAATAGATAACCAAATCTGGCATATCAAGTGGAAATGGAATCCAGTGTAGGCTGCAATCACGAGCACTCCTGCCACAGGAGGTGGCAGATTTGAGAGGCAGTGTCTGCTCAGAGTCCCAACCCCAGCAAGGTGGGACTGCAGGTTCCTCCAGTCAGTTGCTTCCTAGGGCAATCAGGATCTAGTCTTGGATGACTTAAAGGGATACCCAAACAAATCACCTAGTAAAGAAGCCAAGGACAAGTCTAACTCTCTCACCAGATGGGAAATAAAAAAGGTTTCAGAAACTGTGCTAGAAATTGCAGTTTTAAAAATACAAATATTTATCTCTTGATACGTCACAAATCTCAAGTAATAAATTAAGGAAATTAAGATAAGATTAGGTTAGGCACTTATTTGAGTGGAGTCCCAAGTGAGAACATACACAGTTTTCAATCTCAAGCTCTTTTCTTTCTTCTCTCTCTTCTGCAAATATTTTTCCCAGAGATCTATGCATTCAGGTGTCGGCTCAGTGTCCCTCCCCAAAGGCTGCCGTATTCCCCCACCAAAAGGTAGCAACCATTGCTCTTCATCTCTTCACCTTGCTTTCTCTTCACAAAGGCAAAGTACATCCAAGTTTGTACATCATACTCATTATTAGCACATCATAGCACTTGTTATCTCTCTCTGTGTGTGTATGTGTGTGTTCTATGCTGACCACTGTCTCCCTTATTCCAGGGAAGAACCTTGTATTGCTCTGACAAACCAAGCAAGTGTCCTAGTGATTGTTCATTTTCTTAAATATCTAAAGAAGTCTAAGGAAACCAGAGCAATAGTACAGTGGGAAGGGCATTTGTCTTGCACTGAGCCAACCCAGGTTTGATGCCTGGGATCCCATATGGTCCTCTGGACAGGAGTGATCCCTGAGCGCAGAGCCAGGAGTAAACCCTGAGCACAGTAAGTTAGGACCCAACACTCCCACCCCAAAAATCTAATCAGGACACCATTCTGAAGTTGTTTATGATTTCAGGAAAGATGCCTATCACGTGGTTAAAATGTTAAAAGCTAACAAGCTTAATTACATGTAACAAGTGGGTAATAAAGGACTTCTGAGAAAGGAATGTTTATACATAGGCTAGAAGGAGAGTGTTTTCTAGAGGAGGCATATGTGCCACCGAGGTGGTGATGAGAATTTCACAATGTGCAGGAAAGGGACCAGAGCATTTCTCTCTGGGAGTCTGCACACGCCCCTGTGTCAGGAGGCCAAATTTATGAGTATGTGGGGGTTCATGGCTTCCCTTCAGACCCCCACCGCTGATAAGTAGCAAGCATGACATCACCATTTTGCCTCCCTCCACACCCCTAGCTCACCTATTTGCATCAGAGAAGAAATAAAAGCCCCAAAGGCAGCTTCTCCCAAAGTAGACAGAGTCAAAGAAAAAATCACCATCCAATATAGATTTGAGATGGTAGAGGAATGGGAAGAGAGTTCAGGAAACCAAACCGGCAGAAGAGCAAGGTCCAGAGTTCTGAGTTTGAAGATAGTAAATTAAAAAAAAAAAAAAAAGGCTAAAGGAGAGGGCAGTGGTGAGTGAACAGGAAGCTCCTTGGTGTGGGTGCAGACTCCTGAGGGATAGATAGGCGTGTCTGGCTGCGTGTCTGTTCAGGCCTCGCCTCCCTGTTTCTGGTTCCTCTTTAGTAAAAATGGGGAGAATGGAACAACCTATACAATAAGGCAGTTGTGGGGATTAAATAAACTGATGAAAGCAGCACGGATATGTAGAAATGATCCTAGTTATCCTTGTTATTAGTATTTCAGACTGAGCCATGATACCCTGAAAGCAACATTTTCCAAACAGTCTATATGAATTGTGGCTTTAACAAAATCACACATGCTTTAAGCAGCAATGCTGTTTACAGCCTGACCAAAGCAGAGGGCTGGTATGGGATTGAAGTTAAAGAGTCATACAAGCGACATGAGCAGACACCATCTACCCAGCTGAAGAGCTGATATTTCAAAGGAATGCTTCATTCTTCAGGTGACTAATGTGGCTCTTAGTAGCTAGAAAGAAAAAAATTGCTTTGGAGGTAAAAGAGGGTCTATATCACTTTCAGGTAAAGTGAACATTGATCAGCTCCGAGTATGATGATCTCTGTCTAGCCTTGACTTACAATGCAGATACTCACGGTTCTGGCGTGTAGAGAGGGTCCGAGCCATGGCGGATATATTGAGTACAGTGGAACACTCTGTAGGCCAGTCCTGCCAGGAAGTCTCTTGGGCTCAGATAACCAGCCACAGGTCTCACTGTGAACCCAGATCTTTCTAAAGAGGCAACAAAAGAGCCAAACTACTTAATGCAAAATAATTTGAGGGTCCAAACAAGCCTTCCTATTATTTATCAGGGTGTTCTAGAAACAAAGCCATCTCACTCTCAGTAGTCTTAACAATTGAATGGCATATACTGTTAACAATTAACACGTTTGTGGCTTTTGATTACTAAAATACACTTATGAATGATGGTTTCCAGGGAAACAAGGCTTTCATTCAAATGGAAATAATGGTGAAAAAAATATTTAAGAATCAAAGTTCAGAAGCTAGACTGGATTATGAAAGCTCAAATACACAGGAGGAGATTTCAATAGAATTGATGCTTACCACTTATGACTGGGTGTCTTTTCCTAATAGACAAATAACATACATGGGTAAGGATCAACTCTGTGTGTATGTGATCAGTTGCACAGATAACTTGCTCCTTTCATCAGCATCTTAGAATCAGTTCACACTAAGCTTCCTACTATCAGTTAATTCCTTCATTTTGTAATTCTACATTGTTCTCTGTGATATTTTAATAACAATTGTATCAGTTGACTGCAACTTGAAAAGATACATTCAAGTTCCAGATGCTCTGTTGGTTTCTGATAAGAGAAAACAAAATAAGTAGATACTGAAAAATCTATGAAATCAGCTTGTACTGTTAGCTGAAGTAGGCTAGGCTGCTGGCCAACTGTGTTCATAATGTAAGGGCTACCTGAAGTTTTTCTCTTGTGAAGAATCAGAACATTCACAACAGATGGGATATTCTCATCCATGATACCAGCACAGGAGTAGGATGTTTGCCTTGCACACAGCCAGCCTAGCTGAGCTGGGTTTGATTCCTCCGCCCCTCTCAGAGAGCCCGGCAAGCTACTGATGGTATCTCGCCAGCACGACAAAGCCTGGCAAGCTCCCTGTGACGTATTCGATATGCCAAACACAGTAACAACGAGTCTTAAAAAAATGGAGACGTTACTGGGCCCGCTTGAGCAAATCGATGACAGTGACAGTGACAGTGATACCAGCACTGTAGAGTTTCCCATTCTGAAAACTTTAACTCATTAGGTAAGCACTTGAGAATGTTTAGAGCTGATTTTTAATGACAAAAATAATTTATTCTTATAAAAAATAGTTCATCCTGGGATTATGGGTATCTACATGAACTTGACCCCTGTTCTCAAACCTCCCTGGACCCACAATTTTAACTGTATTTGTGCCCATTTCAAAAGTTTTCATTTTAATATGTTGGATTCTGAATATCAAAAGATAAAAAGGTTGTTTTTTTTCTTATTTTTATGTTTTATGACAATCTGGTCAATATAGCCCATGTATGGGACATAAGTGTTAGCACATAAACATTTTTTAATAACTATGCATTTTGTTTTTATATGAATTTTCAAAAACAGGACCAGAGATCTAGTACAGGGATAAGGTGTTCACCATGCACACAGTCAAACTCAGTTTCATTCCCAGCACTACATTTGGTCTTCTGAGCACCACTAGAAATCAACCCTAAGCACAGAGAGCCAGGGATTAGCCCTCAGTACAGTCAGATGTAAATCAACCAACATGTAACCATCAGATTAAGAACTCTGAATTTATGTATACCATTGTTTCAAACATTTAATAAATTTTTTTGTTAGTTTCCCTCACCTTCCTTCTTGTCCCTGTTGCAATGCCTGGGGGGGTCACACACTTGCTTACGGTGCTTGGATACTCTGCTTGCAGTGTGCCAGAGATCAAACACGACTGTGCTTCCAGGAAACCCAAAGAGTAAGTCACCAAGATTACACCCAGCATTTGTGAGATGGTCCTGAGGATTGAACTCTCAACCTCAGGCTTGCAAGGTAGACATGTCTACACTGATCTATCCTCCAACCCTCCTAAATAAGGTCTAATCTAAATCTAACTATTAAAAGAAGTAAAAACATTTAAACCATTCTTACTAAGTACCAATGATTGATATAAAACTCCAGGCATACAGTCATCAAGGGCTGTGAAGAACAATGACAAAAATCATCACAGTTAAGATTCAGAATTGTTGAATGCATACAAGCAATATCCTGAGGACTACAGGAAAAACAATTGTTTTCCCCTGTCAACCACTTTGATGTAAATTAAATAATCTACATTTTCAGAGAGGAAATTGAGGTACAGAAAGGTCTTGATAGCTAGTCTCATTTCACATCAGTAAGAATGGACAGAGTGGAAACTAAAGCCCAGACATTCTGCAATCTAGAATTGATGCAGAATCACATAGTCTCAAAACAAAAATCATACAGTCGCTCATGAAAATGCTAAATTGGAGGACAGATGTAGCAAAAAGAAAAAAGTTATGTATTCTAATTAGTGTTCTAATTATTAGGGTTTGAGAAATAATGCAGCAAAAATGCAATCTCTGTACATGAGCGATTATCAAACCCAAGGTAAATATCTAAGATCCATTTAAGATACTTAAATATCTAAGAGGATATGAACTATTTAAACAACAAAGAAGCCTGTAGAATGTAATTAGGTGCCAAGTAAGTGAAATGGATCAGTCACTGTCACTGTCACTGTCCTCCCGTTGTTCATCGATTTGCTCGAGTGGGCTCAGTAATGTCTCCTTTGTGATACTTGTTGTTTACTGTGTTTGGCATATAGAATATGTCACAGATAGCTTGCCAGGCTTTGCCATGTGGGCGAGATACTCTTGGTAGCTTGCCAGGTTCTCCGAGAGGGGTGGAGGAATCGAACCCGGGTCGGACCGGTCGGCCACATGCAAGGCAAACACCATACCCGCTGTGCTATTGCTCCAACCCAGTGGTTCACTATATTCTTTCTACTGAGGATGAGTGAGAGAAATAGTACAGGGCTTATAGGAGCATGCCTCGCATATGGCCAGTCCCAGTTCTATCCTAGCACCACAAGATTTCCCAAGTACTGTCATATGTGGCCCTGCAGGTCCCAGAACACCACTTGGGTGGCCAACATAAATAATAAAGTATGAAAATTTAAAAAAAAAATCCTAGGGATGATGTTCACAATTAAGACCATTCCCATCATGCTAGGTGTGGTTTTCAGTGTACCTGCTCTGTGCTCTGTGGCTGTTCCTAGCTCTCCTCTGGAGACATCACTGACCTAGCTCGAAATCAGAAAGGGGGCAGGTGTGCCTTAGGCAGAGCAGAAACTTGAAGCACCCCTTGCTTTGTCTTGTTGGCAGCTCTAACATCAGCAATGAGTACAGTCCCTCGCAAGCAATTTACGCTTTAAAATATTGATTTGATTAATTTACTACTTTTCCCCCAGAGGAAACTCACTTACTCAAGTTGAACATTTTATCCAGGATATTTCTTCATCCAGCACAAAATGTTTAACAAAACAAAGAGCCACTTCGGAATTCCTTCCCTTTCATTCCTTGGAGCCGGACAGAGTAGGGGTTAGATCTGAAGTGGCAACTGAAGTGGCGAAGCTCCTTCACAGCCTACCACAGAGAGACCTGCCAGGCCCTGGAGGTAGACAAATGGCTGAGGCAGCTCCCTGCCCAGAAACCCAGCTCTGCTTCACACTCCCTGCACTCCTAATTGTCCTCTTTTTAATCCAAAGGACTTTTCTTTTGGGGTAAAAATAGCCCTTGACTGCAACATGGATCCTTCCAAGGCAACGAACTTGAGTTTGCAAATGAGAATGCTTGTCCCTGTGAAGCCTCACCTTTCAGGAACAAGGAAACGTCTTCGAGTTGAGGCACGTTATCCTCCCGGTAGCCGCAGTATTTCGACAGCAAAGGGAAGTTTTTCAAATACTCCCGGCAAGCATGAGTGGGGTAGAGCTTTGAGAGCTCCCGGAACACAATACCCCAAGTTTTTGTTTCTTCCTCAGTGTACTCCACCCGGGGAATGGGCTGACCACTAGACACAAGAGAAGACAAACGGAAAGGCCCAAGGGCTTAGGAGTTTTCTTCTTATCTATCAGGATAACTATCAGGAGTCAACTTTGAATTTTTTTTTATTATTAAGGAACTGTTATTTACAAAGTTATTCATTCTTGAGTTTCAGGCATGCAGTGCTCTATCCCATCACCAGTGTCAGCTTCTCTCCTCTACTGTCCCCAGGTTCCCTCCAACCCTGCAGCCTGCCTCCTTGACAAGCACATTTAAAGTTTGGCTGTTAGGGCCGGAGCAATAGTATAGCCGGTAGAGCATTTGGCTTGCATGCGGTGGACTGGAGTTCAATCTCCAGCATCCCATATGGTACCCTAAGCACCGCCAGGAGTAATTCCTGAGCACAGAGCCAGGAGTAACTGCTCAGCATCACTGACTGTGACCCAAAAAGAAAAAAAAAGTTTGGCTGTTATTGTTTGGTTCTCCTATTACTTAATTGGGATGATGCAGAATAATGGAACAGGGAATAAAAGGTATCCAAGGGGCGTGGGGGGTGGGTGCCTAGATTACCCTGGTCCCTAGATTCTAGAACTGAAAGGGACAGGGAAGGGAAGGAAGAAGAGATGGACAGAAGGTAACAGGGGCAGGAGGCAAGGGTTAGCTGTGTAGAGCTGTGCTAGATCTATATATCTAAGCCACAAAACCAGCAAAATGGAAAGCAAGAGCCAACCTTTATAAAGAGGTCTGAGTGCCTAAAAAGATCCCATTCAGGGCCAGGGAAATAAAAAGCAGATAAGGCGCTTGCATTGCCTGTGGCCAAACTGGTTCCATTCCCAGCACCACATATAATCCCTAAGCACTGCCAGGATCCCAGAGCCTTTCTGGACATTCCCCCCATTCAAAACATGAAAATTTACAAAATAATAATAATAATAATAATAATAAAAGGATGCATACTTCCTAATTGTGTGTGTTTGTGTTTGAACATTCAGATAAATGATTTAGTTTCCATCTTCATGCTTCCTTATGGAAACTTGATGAGAAAAAAAAAAAGCATGTCCTTTAACTGAAATCATTAACTAATAAGAATTGTGGTTGAGTTTAAGTACGCTGCTGCATTCTACAAGCCTTTTCTGCAATCACAGACAACAGTGATGCAGAAGGTTACCTGAACATCCTCAATAGGTTCCTAGAAACTTCTACTTGGAACAAAAGGATGTTATAGGAAAGCACATCCTTGAATAACATCAGTTCATTCCATGTGACTGGTGCTGGTTTTGTCTCATCTACATTCTAACAAAACAACGTCGAATGAACTAACAGTATTCCAGGACAGTGGTGAATGAATGCTGTCCCTTGAAACTGAAATTGCCTGGCACTCTCTTTGTCTCCAGTGGTGGAATCTCACCCAAACTCCAAGTCATTTTGAGATCATTTGTATTGTGAATAAACTGCCGGCGGGAGACGGGGCGGGTGGTGGGGGGGGGACTAAAAGACATCTAATTTAAGGTGAGAAATTTTGCAAACTATAAAATATAATTATTTCTTACACATCATGCTCTGTGGTGCACACCATGAAGTGCTCTCCACTTAGGAAGGTTAGGACAGTTTTTCTGTAAAAGCACAGAAACAAAAAGATTTTTGCCTTATGCCCTACCCAGTCTCAGTCACAACTGCTCAGCTCTCCCTTGGATCTGGAAGGCAGCCACAGACAACAGGTAAACAGATGAACATTGCCTTATTTTAATCAAGACTCCATTAGAAAAACAGGTGGTGGGCTGCAGTTATAGCATACTGATGTCTGGGTTAGAATATTGAAAGGTGGCCCTCGACTGAAGTTGTCAGGGAGGGCTTCCTGGAAGAGGCATATAGTACCATCTGCAGCGATGGTATCTGCTTATGACTGCTGGCTGCTGTTAGAACATCACCTTTCTAAGTAGGACCATCTCTCCTGATATTGATATAGGCTGGCAGGCAGATCGGGCAAACCTCCTCCCCAGGTGATGGCAGTAAATTTCCTGGGAAGTAATAGCTCTGAAGTTGCAAAGGCCAACCTCGCACAAAAACAGAAACTAAGGCCTGATGAGACCCTCACCTATGTAGAGCAACAGACCCAGAGAAGCTCCTGCAGAAACAAAAGGCCAGGAAAGGAATTTCAAAGAAGGCCATCACCACTCCAACCCCCTCAGGTAACCTCTTTAGCAATGGACTTTTACCTAGGTAGAAGCCCCACATAGGGGGAAGGTTGGAGAAACTCTATAAAGGCCACCTTGAACAAAGGAAGGGTGTGCATATGCTGCCCTAGCCTATGTGTTGCTTGTGCCCATGTGTCCAAGTACATGCGGTGCCTGAACACATATGTCACCTGCGTCTCCCCTCTTGAGATGTGTACTTTCATGCTTTCCTGTCTAATGCTGGGATGTGTGTATGCACTCTCTCTGCCATTGGAGAAGCCTGGGTTCTCTCTTAAGAACATTACTCTCCACTCTTTCCCACTTTCTCTTCCTCCTTCCCTTCAAAATCTCTAAATAAAATATGTTTTACTTCACTGCTTGTCTACTCCTGAAATTCTTTTCTGTGAGGCGAACCCTGGGTCCCAGTGGCAGAGGCAGATGGGGAGAAAGTGACTGTCTTTCTCTTCCCCACTTCATGGGGCCCACTGACATCAATATAACCTAGAGCCATAGAAGGAAGGGGAAGGTGTGTTTTGTTGTTGTTGTTAACTATTCCTTAAGCGATCTGAATATTCATTTAACTCATTTAATATGGAATCTCCAATGAAGATGCCAATTCTGAAAATGAAATGGGGATTTGAGAAAGTTTTCATGATATGCTCCACAGCCACTGACAACATTCCCCACTGCCTGCGCTGGTCACTCAGCAGAAATTCTACTGATGATGTCAGCAAATATAAACAGGGAGCATATGGAAGTTCAAGTACGTGCACACAAAACGGAACTCGGCTTCTGCAATCTACGGAATAGTGCAGCACCCAGCCCCCACAGGAGCCGATGGTCCAGGCTGCAAATGCTACATTCTGGGAAGCATCTTCAGGGAGTTGGGAGCATTCAGGCCAGGGCTAGAGGAAGGGCAAGGAGAACAATAATAAGAGAAGACCAGCCAACAGGCCCCCTGCCACCTAACTTCCACCCACCAGTACAGAACTCGGTATGTTTTATCAACTGGGACAATCACTCTGAATAAAGGAATTCAGGGCATTCCTCCTCACTCCTCTCTCCTTTTGGGTGTTGTAGTTTGCAAAATAGCTTTCTATTTCTCATGTTTCAAAGACTTCTGCTGAGAGGAGGACTTTCCTTACAAAATTTAAACTGGGACAATCACTCTGAATAAATGCCACAAACTAGAATTCTGCCCCCTGCCCCCTACAGTTTATTAACATTGTAGATGAACTCAAATACTTTCCCAATCAGCTCTACCTGCTGGTGCTAACCTGTGCTTCTTTTTTTTTTCCAATTTATTTTATTTTTTTATTGAATCACTGTGAGGTACAGCCACAGACTTACAAACTTTCATGCTTATGTTTCAGTCATACAATATGACTGAAACACCCATCCCTCCACCAGTGCCTGTTCTCCACCACCAATGTTCCCAGTATCCCTCCCTCCCGCCCCCCCACCACCTCCCTCGCCTCTGTGGTAAAATTTAACTGGGACAATCACTCTGAATAAAGGAATTCAGGGCATTCCTCCTCACTCCTCTCTCCTTTTGGGTGTTGTAGTTTGCAAAATAGGTACTAAGTGGCTACCATGCTCGGTCTATAGTCTACTTTCAGCACACATCTCCCCTCCCCCCCACCCCTGAGCGGGTCCTCCAAGCATCCTTTACTTGGTGGTTCCTTCTCCACCTGAGATGCCTCCTCCCCCCAGCATGTGAAGCCAGCTTTCAATCCGGGGAGCAATCCATGAAACGAAGAAACAGAGTTTCAGACTCTTAAAAATAGAACAGTAAAGGAGAACAGAAGAGAAACTTACTGAACTATTATATGATGATGTATGATGACTCCCCATTTTATTCCTCTGTTGGTGTTTTCCTAAGGAAAATCTTTTGCAATGTGAGTAAAACATTATGTAAATGTTTAAAAAAATACTTTCTATTTCACAGTCCAAATCAAGCGATAACACAGCAGTAGGGTGTTTGCCTTGCATGCAGCCACCCGGCTGAGCCGGGTTCAATTCCTCCGCCCCTCTCAGAGAGCCCGGCAAGCTACCGAGAGTATCTCGTCCGCACAGCAAAGCCTGGCAAGCTACCCATGACATATTCAATATGCCAAACACAGTAACAACAAATCTAAAAATGGAGACGTTACTGGGCCCGCTTGAGCAAATCAATGAACAACAGGAGGACAGTGTTTTATTTGTTTGTTTTTTTCACAGTCCAGTCCCCAATGTGGTTTCCATTACCCCAAATTGCCTGCAGTTTTTTGTTTGTTCGTGTGTGTGTGTGTGTGTGTGTGTGTGTGTGTGTGTGTGTGTTAATTCACTGAAGTACATAAGAAGTAAGAGAACATACATGGAAGAAAGCCAGAAATTGACATTTGTTTTCTCTAAGTACGAAGACTAGGATTTAAATAAACCAAATTAGAACAAGATTAGCCTTGTTTAAATTTGGCTGTTGATAACAAATAAAAAATTACAACCTGGCAAATATTTGCTAAGAAGATCAAGCTGCTAAGACTTTGCATCTGTGATGAATTTAGAGTGAAAACTTGCAGTGGAAAGATAAAAATAGAAAGGATGTAGGGAAATAAATATATAAACCGTCTGCCTTTGGTTCCAGAAAATTCAACAGAATCAATTTGAGTCAGGTAAGCCAATAAAGCTAATAAGGAGTGTGCACACTCAGAAGGTAGAGAAGCGATGAGGCTGAAACAATAAATGAAATATCGAGAGGCCATTTGGAAAGAATCGTTAGGTCAAACTTTTTCCTTCACTATTGATCTGCAAACACACAGCATTGCAAAATGGAGCTGAATAAGCCAGCAGAAGGGAAAAATGGTTTCAGGAAGAA